TGTGAATTTTATTCCAGGAGTAACTATAAAGTCTGATTTAAGACTTGATTATATGTATGATCATTAATCAGAATCTGTAGTAAGTAACTAAAGGTAGCGTATTAAATAAATGTAGGGGAGTAGGCTACAATTACACAAGGTCCGAAAACCCTAGGGTTAAACCCTAACCCTATCCCTAACATGTCACCCATTGAGCATATTTGGGATGCTCTGGATCGGCGTATACGACAGCGTGTTCCAGTTCCTGCCAATATACAGCAACTTCGCACAGCCATTGAAGAGGAGTGGACCAACATTCCACAGGCCACAATCAACAACCTGATCAACTCTATGCGAAGGAGATGGGTGACATGTTAGGGTTAGGGTAATGTTGTGAATCGAGTGGCCTGTGTTCATCGTCTATAACATACGCCTGCCCATACCATAACCCCACCACCACCATGGGCCGCTCGATTCACAACATTACCCTAACCCTAATCCTAACCCTCACACCACATACTGACTGGTTTTCGGACCCCCCGAGACCCCCCCAATAAAGCAAAAATGCACGTTTCAGAGTGGCCTTTTATTGTGGCCAGCCTAAGGCACACCTGTGCAATAATCATGCTGTCTAATCAGCATCTTGATATGCCACACCTGTGAGGTGGGATGGATTATCTCGGCAAAGGAGAAGTGCTCACTATCACAGATTTTTTCAGATTTGTGAACAATATTTGAGAGAAATGGTTATTTTGTGTTTGTAGAAAATGTTTTAGATCTTTGAGTTCATCTCATGAAAAATGGGAGCAAAAACAAAAGTGTTGCATTTATATTTTTGTTCAGTGTATGTCTCTGTAATGTCAAATTTGGTCAATGAAGCACTGAAGGCATCCACTAAAGGTGTAGCTTATTCCGTCTTTAACTAATGTATATATTGTGTGTGTGCCAGACTGGACTGATAGAAGGGGTGGGGGGGAGGTGAAGACGAAGGAGTGGACACTGAGGAACAGGGAGGTGGTGGAGGTGGAGGGACTCACCGCAGTGGGAAGGAGAGCTCCAGCTGCTCAATAATCTGGGGAGAAAAGGGGAGGGACCAGTTGACAGACAGGTGTGAGGGAGCCAGGAGAAGCAATACCAGTCAGTGAGCGTGGTGTGGGTTGAGAGGAGAAGTACTCAAATACAGAACTGAAGCGCTGTACACAAACTTTATATGTTTACACATTTCAGAGGGATAGGACTTCTATCTGATGGCTGATGTTACTGGCTGGCTGTAGCAGATTCAGAATGCATAATAAACATGAGATCAGATCAGAAAAATCTGCTTAATACCACGTAGGCATGCTAAAACCCTGCATCTCAAATTAAGGGGTTATATTTCATCAATATGTCAACATCAATTGTGTATGTATTTATATGAACAGGGTAAGTGTGTATAAATGTATATTTGGGAAATCATCCCTCCCTAAGAATTGTATGATTCATTACTTTGTAATCAGCTTTACTTTAGTCTTTTATTATTTTTCATCCATATTATAATTTTGTTTATGTTTCAGTTTTCTTTTTGTTTGTTTTTGTTACTTGGTTGTGATTTATGTACAAATGTGAGTTAATATTCTGAGCAAAGTGCATCTGTTCATGTAATAAGCCGGTAAAATAAGGTTTTGCATTTTTTACAATTGTTTTATTACAAATCACTTGTACTTCGAATGACAGCTACCTATTTTAAATATTGCTTGAGTTGCATAAATCAAGCAGTGAACATCATGTCTTCAGTTACACTGTTTCAGTTTGATAACGCAGCTTCTTTGCAGATTTCATTTCACTGTCCTTTCTTCTCTGTTTCACTCTCAAGCTTTTTTCTTGACTCCTCTATTTGTTTTGCATGCTGCACATGCCCTGCATTATGGAATATAAATTGCAAACATTGGGTGCCTGGAAAAGCACATAGAAAATGTATATATATATCAATGAAGCATTTGCTAATCTTTAGCACAAACGTAAGTGTGTACATGTTTATATCATTGCAATACTTGTATTTCAAGTAAAGGATGTAAGTACTTCTTCCACAACAGTGTAAGTGTGTATCTGTGCGAACTCAAAAGGGACACTCACGCTCTTCTGTGCGTCGAACATGAGCGTCCTGTAGAGCTGGGAGAAGTTAGGGTAGGACAAGTCGCTCCTGGCCTCCACTTCCTGCGGAAAGAGGGAGGACGAGAGTTTGTGTGCCATCTTATCATCTAGGAGAGGACATTCAAAGAGGCAGGGGGTCTGAAGCAGGTCTGACCTGCAGTTTGTCTTTGAGAAAGCGCGTGTTAGGGACTCTGTAGTTGATCTGAGGAAGCAGCGCTTTCACATCCTTCACTGTGATGCTGAAACACAAACAAGACAAGGAATACACATTATAAACATTAAAGAGATTCCAGGACTCTCTATCCAAACCAAAGACCAGATCATCCTAAAAACAAACTATACGGTCATTACACCTTTTGGAGAACCATTCATAAAACTCCCAGTGATGCTATATGTGTTGTCACCAGGAGGTGGCGCTGTATGGTTTGAAGAACTGCTGTCAATGTGAGGGGCAGGTTGCACAAAAAACAAATTCAATCTGATAAGGTTCCTTTGAAGTCAAATAAATCCAAAACACTATTAAGTCTTCTCCTTAAGGTTTCCTCAAACCCTTTACTTAAGGTGCTCTTCTTGTCTTGGTCTTACACTTAAGGTTAGTTCAACCATTGGAGAAAACACCTTAGGAAAACAACTTAAGGTATCTCTAACATTCCTGTAATTAGTGATTTCTTTTTCTAACAGAACAGACACATTTAAGTATCGTTTTGAGCCTCTTGGACAGACCTTTTCACAGACTTCTTGAATGAATAGACCTCCCAAATACGTTGTTTTCTGTTAGCTGTTGTTTCCAAATACCTTTTAGCATTTGCCTTAATTTTTTGTATCTTCCAGGAGTATGAACTTTTCGTCTTCTGGACTATTTAGTTTTTCTGCCTTTCATCTTTTATTTGTTTTATCTATCGGCCATTGTGAGGGGATAACAGGTACAGTATCACAAACAGTCTCCACGTAAAATGTAGAATTTTACCGTTTCAAAATATCTTTCAACGCCGTAAACGCCTTAACACTTTTCCTAATTAAGAAAAACCTTCTAATGGATACTGTGCAACATCTTTAAGTAACTTTCTTAGCTAAGCGGAACGTTTTAACTTCCGTACTTATATGTATCACACATGTTAAAACATGTTCACAGTTGTTGACAAAATAGTCATCTCTCCACAAGACCCATTAAGAAGCAATTCTGGAGCATCAGCTGTCTTTTCTTCCTGACGTTTACACTTTCATGAAAACTGGGATAAACTCCATCTGCAGATATAATGAGTATCTTGAGAACAGCCAATAAATGGACATTGTTTTGGTTAATAATAAAATAAAAGTAATAGAAGAGTTTATATGCCTAAAAGTTGTTGCAGTTTCAAATGCGGAGGATATGTCTTTGCCTCCACATCCTTTTTTTTCTAGGAGAAACACCACATGGACCACCACTTTCACTGATTACAAAAACACATGTAAGTGTCAGTAACAGAATGAGGAAGGAAGCAAGGGAGGCAGGTAGAAAGAGAAGAAGAATCCAGGTCAGTGCGCTGAGGGGATCTTTTGGGGTCAATGACCGGCCTCACTGCTAGGTCTGATCCGCCCGCTTCCCTCTGTCTGGCTACTGTTACTATTTTCACAGGAGACAGGAAGTTGCCCTCTCCCAGCCCATCACATCACTTCCTGCTCCTTATCAGCCGGTGGCAGGCAGTGTGTCCTGGAGCCGCTTCCACCCAACCAGAAGCCTGGGCTTATTAATGTGAGCACAAGAGAGACAGAGGAAGTGTGTGTGTGATACAGTATCTGCATTTTCAGGGTGTGGAGCTCCAGGTCAGATCAGACCCCCGACAGTGCTCTTTGATGGCATCTGGATCTGGTTTCACCTTCACGTCCCACCCAATGTAACAGATCCAATAAGTATCTTTCACAGGCTGCTGTTTAAAATCTGATTGGGTGTTGCCATGTTTATGGAGAGTCACCCACCTGCCCTCGTGGCTCCTGTCCATGGCTTCAAACTGCTTCCTCAGCCACCTACAGAGGGAAGGAAGGAGAGAAAACATGATACTGACTGAGCCATTATTACAAAATATTTCCGGAAATTAAATATTGAAAGCACGGTATGCCGGTGATTGCTTACAGCTGTAATGATGCACAGCATTGCTCAAATAAAATAAATTTTTCCTACGAAATCAGAAATGTTCTCAGGGTTTGTTTTGACTTATTCGGCAATTTTGTTAACACCAAAAATAATAGCTTTTAGTATCTATTTTGTTTTACACTTCCAGCACCAAAACAATACATGTTCTGTAGTATGTGTGAATATTTGGATCTAACTGACAAAGTTGTTCCTCGTTGGTAACCAAAGAAACACTGTAATATTACTCCAACATTTTAAAGGGGCCATATTATGCCAATTTCAGGGTAGCATTTGTATTTTGTGCCTCTGCTATGACATGTTTACAGAATAATGTTCAGAAATCTATTTATTTTTCTCATACTGCCTGTTCTGCAGCACCTCTTTTCACCCTCTGTCTGAAACCAGAGCCCAGTCTGCTCTGATTGGTTAGCTGGCTGGCTCTGTTGTGATTTGTCAACCGCTTAGAGATGTCCCACCCTTAGCCTATCATGTACAATGTCTGAAAAGCCCCAAAAGCATAATAGGACCCCTTTAAGTATGGCAATGTTGCGCTTTTTGATACCAGTAGATGTGTTATGCTGCACTTGTATAAAAAGAGTGATTCTAATGCTTGTAGCAGCAACAAATTCAGCATCATCACCAGCTTGTAAAGACATGTAGAAAGAAAAAAAGCATGTTTCTTTTTATTTAAATATATTTCTAAATAGTTTTTTCTCACATTCTATGTTTAAACAATAAGTATTAAGTCTTACAGGAAGAGAATAAATAACCATGGTTGACTGACCAATAATGTACAAATATAGCATATAGAACTAGTTTAGATTTCCTGAGGAGAGTGAGAGTGAGGAGAATTCACTTCAAGCAACATTTTCAAACTGTATTTAAGAGATGATGAATCCACAGTTTACACAACTGTCATGAAAAGACAAAATTAGCCATTTAACTTCCTGTGACCATCTTCAAACATTACGGCTCACATTATGTGGACAGCCTCCCCCTGTCCTCCTGCTCACCACAGCAGCCAAACCCACCTCCGCACATTCATCTAGTAAATATTTTCAGGCCAAAACTAATATTTGTTCGCCTCCGACCCGCACCTCCCTTTCCCGTCCAGGTCGCTACTTATTTTGATACAACCAGATATCACACATATAGGGGGGTGGGGGGGGAGAACGTGTCGTAAACTCACAATGAAGTAGTCCAGAGATGCATATCTATGACTTGGCCAATAAACTAATCACAAATAAGGTTTACTACACTGAAAATGTCTTTATTTTTTCTATTTAAACACTCACTCCCCTAAATTATAGTCTTGATTATTTGATTAACTCTTGTATTTGTTTAATGTGGATTTACTAGGTAAATAAATGAGTTAGTTGTTTTGGTACTGCAAGAAAGTTGCAAAGTATTCAGGATTGCTTTTAATGAGTATTTTATTCGCATACGGAAAGGAGATTAACTGGAGTGTTTCTCAGGTGTAGAAGACCCTGAACAGTTTCCCACAGGGACACAGACCTGTCTGTCTGCTGCGGAGCGGGCGCTCTCTGAGTATCCATCATCAGCCAGTTGAGGCCGGTGATCCACATGTTGACCTCCTCCTCACTGAAGGCTGCAGAGACAGGAAAAAGAGGGATATAAAAGTGTCAAAATATCAATCTTTTACTCTTCAAAGGTTAAGAGTCAAGTTTGGGGAGCTTACAGCTTAAAGTCGATATTGAAATCTTATTTAAAGGGGGAAATCTGAAACTTTATTTGTGCCGTTTTGTCTATTTCTTTCAAATGTTCTTCTTGTTTGGGAATTGGAACTGCCACCCTGTTAAAAGTCTATTCATCCAATCATATATAGTTTAGCTTGTCAGCTATTTTTATGTTTTATTTCTAAGAGAAGTTTTTGACTCTTCACATTTGATTTTGAATGAAACATAGACTATGAGATTAAACTGCTTACTTAAAGTAATCTGTGTGTGTGGAGCATGAATCACTTATATTTCACCGTACAACCATGTGCTGTAAATGACTCATACATGTAACCTTGTAACTTGAAAGATGCTACAATCACTAAAAAACTCTTTTGTTTGAGCAAGAGTGATTATATTAAGCAGATAAAATGTACAAATGAAATATGGGAGGCAGTCTGTGTGACCTTCAACATTGGGAATCAACATAACACACACACACACACACACACACACACACACACACACACACACACACACACACACACACACACACACACACACACACACACACACACACACACACACACTGACCGGCCACACTGAGCGTCCTGAGGCGAAACTCCTGTCCGTAGAGCACGATGAAGCAGTGGGCGGCGTCCAGTTTTCGGGCCTCCTCCGGGTAGCGCTCGAAATCACGGGACCCCTTCCCCAGCCGCAGCTCCCGGATCTCTCGTATGTCGACTGGAGGAGGGAGGAAGGAAGGAAGGATAGTGTTGCATGAACACAAATATGCACACCCATAAATCACAGTTTAGCACGTTGTTAGTTTCCCTGCCAGACACACAAAAATCTGCTGCCGGAGGACTCAACAAATGTAATTTGTGTGAGTCCGGAGAGCCAAAAAACACACAAACATGTCAGCTGTTGGTGGCAGGATGCTCCCAAAGTCTGCAGAGGCTTTTAGCAGCAGCACCAGATGACCAAAAAGTTACTTTTCCTTCCCTTGTTTTGGGGGAAATTAATCCCTAAACTCTATAGTCCCTATAAAACCTAGATAAAGGCGCCATTAGTAGGAAAATAAACAACTGGATTTGACCTCTAAAGATGGAGTGAAGCCCTTAAAATGTCGCTTAAGCTCCTCGGTCTGCTCTGAGATGAATAATGAAGGGTTTTAGTGACAGTTTTGTAATATATTTTACAGAATCCTTAAATATCCTTCTGTGCATCTAAGTAAATAAAGATTTTGGACATGTAATCATCATTATTTCACGGCGTCACTGACAGCTGTAGATTCGTTAAAGGGTCTTTTTAGCATCAATAAAGTTTAGCGCATTGCACTGTGGGATTGTTAGCAGCAAGACACCCAAATAAAACGGCAGATAGTAAATTCAGTGCATTATACAGTACATGGGGAGTGATTTTGGATACAAGTTAAGTTCAAAGATGGCGGAAGTGTTTATTTTTCAGAAAGACAGTTTGTGATTTAGATATCTAGAGGACAGAGAAGTTGTTCACACCTTTGTGTAAAGTAAAGTTTGTCATATGACCGGGTTTTGGAATTTGGTTGGCATCTAAACACGGTCCTTATCACATGCTCAAGCCTCCAGTTTATTTTTTATAAAAAGTATTTTAAATCTCACTGAGGCTCTCACCCATGCCTGCTAATTCTGCACTCATATCTTAAATAAATTAAATATATCTGTATATACAATATAGATAAGTGTGACGATACTACATGAGGACCAATGTTTTTCACTTAAAGGGGACCATGCACTTTTGTATCTCTAGTATAGGCCTACATGAATATGTAATATTTTCCTCCATACCCAAATCTCTAAAAACGGGGCTGCAACGGAGCTGATACAGATTTGAATTTTCCTGACGTCAGAAAAGGGGTGCTCCGCCTATATGGGCAACTCTCCACCTATCAGGGGAATGAGAGACCGCTCGAAAGCGCTGGAGACGCTGTAGTACATATGCCAGGCCTGTAGGTGGCGCTGTAGTCTGCCACAAAAGCAGAATCAGCCCTTGCAAAAACAGGGCTGGAAAAGAGTAAAGAGAGCGAAATGAGGCATGGCTAAAATGCAGGATCTGTTTGGTATTTTGAAAAAAAAACTTCAAAGACATGTTTTGTATAGGTATGGCCCTACAATATATTTAAGCAATAGCTCACGACAGGCCGTGGTATATGCTCATTATATCACGGGGCGTGGTTCCGCCCGACGCGAAGCGGAGGTGCAACAACACTAACAGCTGGTGAACATATTAGACAGAGAGCGTTGATCCATTATTTGGCTGTTTATTTACATTAATGTGTGTTGCCGTTTATTGTGCACCCACTGAAAAACTGTCCAGCATCAGTAGCATGGCTTACGTGGTCACTTGTATAGGTTGAGGTTGTTCTAGGCTGTTGCTTGGCGTGGCGAGAATATTGCTCCACTTTCTCCGGTCCCCGAGATTGGGCTTCCAGTAGCTCTGGAGAGAGCTTTCACACCTGTGGCCACTAACGGTCATAATTTCTCCGCTTTGTTTCAAGACCCGCATCAGAAAGCTTTTGAATGGTGGTACTTTTCCAGTTGGTCTACCTGCTCTTCACGTAGCTCTGCATGCCGCCGTTTAGGTGCTTTTTTTTTCTGGAGATAGGCACTGCTAAATCCACTCTTCCATAGTAAGACCCCCCCCGGAGGTAGAAGTTAATCTTAAATGTTTCCATCTTATGCTTTGTAAGTTTGTTTCCTAACGGAAGAAATTTAAATATATTTATAAAACTGACAAGTCAAATCAAGCAATCTGATTGGCCGATAGTGTTTTTGCGGACCTCTTTGATTACAGATTTGAAAACATCGTTGCTTGCTTTAAAAGTAGCACAATTCATTATGTCAAACCTTGGAAAGTGTCTAGATATCCCTGCCCTAATGCCAAAGGAACAGCACACTGAATATGTTTTGCCCTTGTCTTTGTCTGGAACGCTGCGTAAAAAGGAGGCTTTCTGCCCCGTTACTTCTCCGTTGCTTTCTTGTTCCACAGCCCAACGGTATACTGTTTTTCTCAGACGCGGAGGGATACTGACTTGTTGTGAAAAGTAACTTACAATTCTACCCGTGGTATACGCTCAGTATCACGGCTAAGAACCAATCAGATTGCTTGATTTGACTTGTCCGTTTTATAAGTTTCAAATATAGCATGATAGGTCCACTTTAAATAACAACACAGAGATGATAGATGCGCTTTATTTTCACATTTTATCAAATTAATTTCTTTATTTGAGTTAGTTTTCCCATATGCTTCCTATTTGAGGGACATTTCAGAATATTAAAATCAGATGTTAAGGTAACTAACAAATGTATTAGGGAGTATTTGTACCGATTAAAGGATGATTAAGGCATTTTAAAGTATTCAGGGGATATTTGAGGAATGGTATTTGTGCAGAAATAGAACTTCATTGTACAAAATCATTTTGGTTACACCCCTTTTCTTTTTACTGCAACTTGATCCGCACTTGATCCGCACTAGCGCTCTGAGGCTCCTGACCACAAGGTCTGATGTAAACTCTGGACTCTCCTTGGACACTCGCAGCAGTCGACACACCCACAAAGAAAACCCCGGCTTATTGACTTAGCAGATGTCTTGTGCAAACACACATAAAACCTACACTCATAGATGCTCCGGCATGCGCACAGCAAACACACACCCAGTGTAACGTACACACAACTGAGTGTTACTCCTTCAGTGAAAAGGAATAAAGTGGAGAGGATAGACTCCCATATCAAAACTTCCTTCTGTGATGAAGTGATCTGCCCAATAGGTAGACAACAGGGGGACGCAGCGGACAGAATAATCAAAACCGGCCATACCAAGCCGTCCTCAGCAGGTAGATAACGCTGAATTTATATCAAGAAGACATCTGGTTCCTATCTGAGCCTCCTGCATGTGAAGATGACAGCGTGCACGCTTGGCATGAGATTAAGAGAGCAGTCCATTATTCTCAGATGTCCGTAATTTAGTGTGAAGAGGGTTCAGAGCTAGAAGCAGCAGAAGAACTGAAGTTTGAACCTGCATTCGACCCCCTGTGGTCAAAAGCTTCTAAAGGACAGTTTTGCAACAATTCCAGAACCTGTCCCAGGAATTAAACTATTTATACATCATGATTTTTTACATTCTTCTTATCTTTCACAAAAAACACTTGAAAGAAAACTAAAACCTACAATTGATGCATGTACAAAAAAGTATGGTGCGTATGGAAGTCTGATATACAGTATCTCATTCTCCTGTGCCATAGAGCTCCATTGTTGTCCACAACTATTGCAATTAAGCAATCATACACGAGAGGCCGTTCTTGAACGTCATTATTGGTACGACATACTGCGGCAGGACCGAGGCGCTTCCCCCGAGGTCCGTACCAGGGGCGGCGCC